AAACAGGCGGGCGCTGGGCGGCCTCTCCGGGGAGTCAGAGGCGGGACCGAAGCGAGGAAGGGGCGGGACGCGCAGCAACGGCTCTGGAAAAGGAGAAAGAGGAACTCGGCCGGGAAGAAATAAATGGAAAACGAGAACGACGTGGGAGCAGTGCGGCTCGTTACAGCCCGCTCTTCCCTACGCATGTCTAATGATCCTCTAAGCCTTCCGGAGCGAAACTCCTCCCTCCGGCCCAGGGAGCCCACGCAAAAGGCATCCTTCTTTTTCCAGCCGCCTGACAGAATTGCAGGGGGGGAGAAGGGGGGGAACAGCTGGCAAGCACACCTGTCTCCACTCAGAAGCCCGCAGAAGGAGAGACCTCGCCCAGCTTCAATTACGCGCCGCACCGACAGAAGCGTCAAAACGAAGCGGTAGAATCCCAAGATGTTTGGCTGGACTATGCCACTTCTGATGGCAAACGCGGGGGTGGGAAGTGGAATATCATGTTTGAGTGAATCTTTACCTACAAAAGTTACCCAAAAGAGGGAACTACACCGAACGTTTTCTATCGCTGCATCGGGTTATTCCGCTCTGGAAAACCTCTTTTCAGAATGCTCCCCTGTGTCAAAAGAAAACAATGTCAGTGTATAACAATTCCCATTGCACTCTAGAATGGTACAGTCCAGCATTCTACCACCTCTTGGTACCCATTCCAAGGCTGGGCTATATCCATAGAGCAAAATTTGGATGCTGAAATTTAGAGGCAGTTCATATGCTCTGCCATTCAAGCCTTCCCACCCCTAGGTCTGCACATTGAGCTTTCTGCAAATAAAACAGTGACACAGCAGGGGAGGAGGTTCCTTCTGCTTTTCTTCAAGTGCTTTATTTTCAGGGAGATTGTCCACATAGTGCTCTTCAGAAATGGTATCGCTCACCTGTACTCTAACATGGTAAAGTCTATGTTAGCACCTTAAACATTGTGACCTGCTATATGTGTAGATGTGATTTAACATTTCCCACTTTGGTGCAAGTCCTTCCTATGCTGCTAGAGTAAGATACAGATCTGTGGACCACAAGAGAGAACTCAGGTGTGTGGGTAGCACACTGCAGTTGTTCCATTTGTTGTATTTTATCTTAACTCTTGCTTCAAGAAAAGCAGAATAACCTGTAAAGTTCTCTCTTACACACATAACACAATATCTCACAATGACCCTGTGAAGTAGATTATGTTGAACAAGAATGACTTGCCAGAAGTCTGGATATCTGGGTTACCAGCTTGGAATTCCAATCACTACATTACAACGGCTTTTTTCATAATGCCAGAAATCATAATCCTCATTTCCAAATCCACAGTCATGATGGATACCTATTCTAGTTTCCTTGTGCATGTTAGTAATTTGTTGGCTACAAAAGTATGTCCATATTGGAATGGGTTATTGAATGCACATGTTTTTCTGTTGAGTCAGTTTCAGGTCTTAAGACTTAAAGAAAATTGATACTGCAAAGATTCATCTGAGCCCCTCCACCCTCCACTCTTTCTTCTCATTGCATCCTGCCCAGTATAATACGTTTAGCTTTGTGTGTTTGTTGTTGTTGTCTATTGTAGTCAATCAATCAGAGTGAAATCACCTAAAATATCGAAATAATCCTTCAAATTATATTTTAACTGATTAATTTTGCTACCTTGAATGGAAAGTGTTGATCTATCTGATCATTTCAAATACAGAACTATATTCACCCTTTAATGTTTAGGGACTAGAGCAATTGAAACCATCCCCCTCCCCTTGAGAAAAGCCCCAGATCAGTTCACACGGTACAAGGCATGAGGCAAAGAGAGAAACCAGCATATAAAATATTGGCATTTTAACAAAGACAAACTCTTCCTCTAGAGCAGAATAGCTGTTATGTTCATTAGGACCATATCACATGTCCAAAAACATGTGAACCACCTGAGGGATATTGACTTTATTTTAACACAGTATGTAAAAAATTGGCTACATTAGGTTATTTTAACTAAATGTGATATTAAACTGTATCTATAAAAAAAAAAAGCTACTGCAAAATAATAGGTTTGAGAAAGTATGGCAGCTCATAATTTAAATCTTACAACACAATTTATGTCTAAAGGAGCTAACATAACTAAATAAGTATAGTAGAAGGAGCTGCTTTAAAAAGAACACTGAAATACTAAATAATTCCTATAAACATTGAAAGGGCCCAGATTGCTGTAAGAAGCCACAATGTCATCAACATGACAATATGTGTGCATTGATGTCATTGTGCCAATGATACAACTGGGTAATTTATGTCATTACTCTGATGTAAGTATGTGAGCCACATCATGATATCCTGATCTGTGTGTCATCATTTGCTCCTTTCTGCCCCCACCTGAAGATATCCATCCATGGAAGGGCCCACAATCTGACTTGAAAGATGTTCTTCAAGCGTCATTATCAATGAATACCAGTTGTTGCAGGAATCAAATACAAAGCTCCATTACAAAATTCCTTTGCATAGTATAAAAGGAAATAAGCACCTTACATTCAAGCGTCTTACATTCACTGCAGAAGCATTTAATTAATACCTTCAAAATAAATCATATTTTTCTCTATGTAATGAAGTTGAGAAGTTCAGCTTGGCTTTAAAAAAAGCATTGGATAGGTTTAGCACATGCTTTGAGTTTTGAAGAGCCCATGCTACTTCCAGTTGTAGGTATTATGTCTCCACTTGGTGGGAACAGTGACAGGAAAGGATTGTATGTCCACCTCCTGCTTGCAACCATTCCAGAACCACCATCCAAAATAGTGAACTGAGATGGGCCTTGGCATGATGCCACAGATTATTTTTATATTCTCAACTCAGTGGCCAGAGATAAAGTAATAATATACCAGATTAGTGTAAGGTTTGAGGTGGTCAATTTTTTTCTCCCAGAACCCCCCAAAGAACTGCCTTGATCTGTTTGAGTGCCACTCTCCTAAATATTCTGCCAGTGCCTTCCCACTTTTCCTCCCTTTACTCATTGCCATCTCCTTTCCCTAAGCGTCTGATCACTCCATTCCCTTCCACCACTCCCAGTTTACAGTCAGCAAGAAGAAACAGTCCTTCCCCCTCCTTCTCCATTCTTACAGCACTTGATTGGGCAAGGGCCCTTGCTGCTTAGGGTTCAACTGTGTCCACTTGTTCCATTCTTCTGGAGTACTGGGAACATATTACATGGAGTCCAAAAGGAAATGAAATGTTCATTTGATAGCTTGGCAGGAAAGACTTCAGCACACATCATACTTACTCAACCAATGCTTTAAAAGGGAAAAAGAGGGGGAAGCAGGATGATATGTATTAGTCTAGGTCAGTGTTTCTCAACCTTGGCAACTTTACAACATGTGGATTTCAACTTCCAAAATTTTGCAGCCAGCATGCTGGCTGGGAAATTCTGGGAGTTAAAGTCCATGCATCTTAAAGTTGTCAAGGTTGAGACACCCCAGTCTGTAACTGCCTGTTCTGTGATTCTTTGAAGTATCTTGCACTTACAACTTACTTTTTATCTCAAGACTTCATTGAGCCAATAGTTGTCTCCAAGAAATATCAATAATTGTTTCTGTGATTTCTATTAGTTTTTCTATGGATAATAAGAAATGTGAATTAATGACAAGGGATTGGCTGCTGCTAAAAAGGACATGAAGCACACAATTTAATGTTTCTCGTTTATATCACTTATTTTCCCACAATAAATCATCTCTAGTTCCAAACTTCAAAATACATTGCCTTTCTTTCTTTGGACTGCTTTCATGAATGTGTTCACTTACCATCTTAAGCCATAACACAGTTTCTTTAGTTTCATGCATTATTCTGAGTGATAACAATCACTGTAATATGTTAGCCATGGCATATTGTTGACTATTTTGTGAATCCAGTCATGGTGCACATTGTTTGTTTTGTTGACTAAACAACAAATGACTAAGCCAAATGAACCACATTATAGCTCAAGATGTGTGAATCAAGCCAACCAATTGTTTTTCTTCTAAAGGAGGAAATGTTGGTCAAATTACCAGAGTAATTTCTTTTAAAACTAAACACCTATATTAAGGTAATGACATTATTAAGCTGCCTAAAAATTTACAAAATAATGTGTAAGAACTCTTCCACAGACATAATGATTGAAAGTCTAGAGAAGTAGGAGGCAGAAAAAAATGTGATTGCGTGTTTAAACTGTGTCTTCATTAATTTGTTACTCTAGGTAAGCCTGTAATCATCACTAGTGCACATTAGAATCTACCTGATGCAGAGATGGTGTCAGGCTGCACCAAGAACTTCCCCAAAACTTGCTGAGAAAAAGAAATAAGCAAATACTTATTGTTAGGCACTTATCTGCATATCTATGTACTACAGTGAGATGAAGAGTAATCTGGTGTACACATGGTTTAAATAACAGTCACATTTTTTCTTGGACATTTAATTTGCCTGATGAAGAAATTGAATTTGCTTAGGAAAAAATATTTGTTTTGACTGTGTGGTTTAAGTATAAGTCCATTCATCAATATACGTGGCAAAGGAACGATTGCTTTTATTCTTTATGATGAAAGAAAGAATTAGTGAGAGATACAAGGTTCCTTTATCAAGGTGATGTTCTGAATGTGAGACAGACCATTATTAAATAG